TCACTTCATAGTCAGCATCACAAATTTGATTAATGCTTAATAGATTGGACTTAAGACCCTCTACATACAGCACATTAGATATAGTAGGAAGTCCAGATATGCTGATGGTGCCTTTACCACGGATAGGTGTCGTACCCCCATCTCCAAAGGTAACTACACCACTGTTGCAGTCATCAAGTGTAGAGAATAAGGCATTATTACCACACATGTGTCTAGAACAAGCACTATCAAGATACCACATACATGTATTTTGAGCCTTATATGCAACATGAGCTATAGAAAAATTTGAATTCTCACCATACCTACCCACATCAGATTTCTTAACCCAAACTTTTCTAGAGGTTGAGGTGATCCTAGTCAATTTTGTCACCATCTCAGTTAAGTGGCTGACCTGATTTGAAAGAAAGTTTACTTGACTAGGGATATCTTGACTTCTATTCCTATCTGCTAGCTTATGACACTTAGGTCTCGTGTGTCCTAAAGCACCACAGTGATGATAAGTGGGTATGAACCTAGGCTCAAATGCATGTGGTTGTTGGTGCTGAAATTTCGGTGCGGAAATCTTACGGGCTCTAGTGGCATTCAGTTCAGTGACACTCTTACTTTTGGATTCACGATTGATTGAAATACTAGAATAGTTGGAAGCAGGCACAAATGTGGTCTTGGGTGAACTAGTCATGTTGCTATCACCCTTCACAAATCCTAGACCTTGCCTATTCCCAGTGGGTTTGTTCATTCCTAACATGGCATCTAGTTTCTTAGTCCCGCTCATAAAAGACTGCAGTTGAATATTAGATTTCTCTAACTCACAAGTTAGTGTCTTAACCTTGTCCTCTAGCTTGTCATTGACACACTTCAACTCACTAAGGTCTTTAGATGAGACCTGAAGATCATTAGTGAGTCTCTCTTTCTCTCTCTCAAGCTCGTCTACCTTCTTAAATAGGACTTTATTTACCTTTTTGATATTGAGACTCTCCTTAAATAGAAGTTGATAAGCCTCATGCATATCCGTCCCATCCTCAGCATCGTCACTAGACTTCTCACTCTCTACATCCTCCTCAACCTTCTCACCGTCCTTATCAGACTCGCTCTTAACTGTAGACACAAAAGCCATATAACCCTTTTCATCTTCACTATTGGAAAAATCCCTTTGATCACTTGAGTTTGAATCATCATCAATCAATGACACAGCTAATGCCTTGCTCCTTCCCTTTTTCAGATTTTTCTTAAAGTTAGGACATTCATTTCTATAGTGCCCAAATCCCTAACACTCATGACACCTAATAACTTGAGATTTCTTACTAGACTTCCTAGCAATTGGTTTATCACTCTTCTCTTTTTAGAATTTACTAGGGACTCCTCTATTTTTATCTTGGGACCATCTCTTGCCCTTTAAAGCTTTCTGGAACTTCTTTACGAAGTAAGCTATTTCCTCATCTCTAAGGGTTTCTATGTCAGACGACTCTGACTCTTCTTCTCCAACTGTGTTCAGCACTATGGACTTGTTTTTCTTAGGTTGTGAGATGGTGAGTTCATAGGTTTGAATGGATCCTATGAGTTCTTCTATCTTAACCGTGTCCAGATCCTTACTCTCTTCAATCGCTATAACCTTAGGTCTAAATCTCTCGGGCAAAGACCTAAGAACTTTTCTCACAATTTTTGACTCGAGAATCTTCTCACCTAGATTGAAACTAGAGTTTACAATGTCATTCAATTTTGCATAAAACTCATCAAACGATTCATCATCTTTCATCTTGATTTCTTCAAACCTAGAGGTTAGCATTTGCAATTTTGAATTTTTTACGATTTTAGTTCCCTCATGCGTAGTCTCTAGAATGTCTCATATCTCTTTAGCAGTTTCACACAGTGACACTCTCCTAAATTCTTCGGGAGACACGGCCATAAACAAGGCATGAAGTCCTTTACTATTCCAATTGCAATCAACTAATTCTTCCTTAGTCCAAAGTGAAATATCAGTTAGATTGACAACACCTGACATAGTTGTGGAAGGAGGTTTCCAACCATTTTCCAATCCAGCAAGTACAAGTTCTGCCAAACTCCTTACCCAGTCAGACCCGCCGTTCTAGTCTCACTATCTACTGCTGTAGATACAGCTAATCTCCTGCTAGCTTCCTGATCTATCTCTTGCAGCCCAATCTGCTATCCAATACAGCCTCCTGGTCTTTAGCTGATTGTATCACCAAGTGAAATTCTAAGAACCTCCTGTTCTTGTCTAGTTCCTGCGCTTGTCGTCCACCTCTCTCAATCCTCCAATGAGAGGTCCGTTCCTCAAAGGATTAAGGAACCACGGTGTTTTATCTTCACAACTTTGATGTTTTCCCCACACAACGGATTGCCGAAACATAAGAACGAAGAAGATGAATTAATCTCTTGAAGCACTCCTTGGATCTCTTGAAAGAATATGGGAGGATGTTTCTCAATGTAAAAGCAATATTGCAATCTCTAATTTTCTCAAAAACAAAAACATTGATGGAACATGTTTAATACCAATCTCATGTGACGTCTTCATCCTTATGGTGTTTCCCAATTTTCTGGCTTTAACGACTTGTGTAATCTCCCCTTCTAATTCCCTGTTTNCATGTGACGTCTTCATCCTTATGGTGTTTCCCAATTTTCTGGCTTTAACGACTTGTGTAATCTCCCCTTCTAATTCCCTGTTTGCCGGCAATTAATTTTCACCAAAACTGCTTTAAATTCTGTGTTTGTATTTAATTTGCTCCTGCCGATTTCTTCTGCCCAAAACTGCTCCAATGCTTATATCTCTCTATAATATTGCAGCCGACAGCCTTATTAATGTTTGGAGTCCACTTTCTGCCCTTTCTTTGTACGTGTAATATCTCTTCAATTCAGCACCCCAGCCCACGACTTTGTTTCCTGTGCGTATGTATATAAAAATTAACCTAGCAGCCTCCAGTTTTATTCCTCAAGCAGCCACACTTTTGCCGTTTTCTGTTGGGTATATGTATAATTTTTGGCTGGCTCCCTTTTCATACACAAACCAAACCCTAACAACTATACAATATTGCACATCAAGCCTTGACTTTTAAACGTGTTCAATTAAGTTTCTTTTTGTTCATAGAATGCCAATTACAATTTTAGACCTAACACTTCCGATCAACGCATTATGTATGAGAAATTTTTAATTAGGTAAAACACATAAGTGACTTACATTGATTAGGCCGAACCAATTGAGGGACTTCCGGTGCTTCACTATCTTACATTTTGATATTTAAAACACATTTCAAATTGGTACATTATTTTCATACAAATTCATAACGAAAAATCCTAACTTTTGAACCTTTGAACTATTTTCCCATCTCCCTGTGGATACGACACCCCAAAACTATATTATAATCGCCGCGTTATAATTTGGACGTAATCAAATTTTGGCGCCGTTGCCGGGGGACTGTATAAATAATTAAAGGATTTTCGAGCAAAAGAGTGACTTCGTTCCCCTTTTATCTTTTTAGTTTGTTGTTTATTTTTAGTTTTATTTTGTTATTTCTCACATTTTTACATTTTTGTGATTTATGAACAGGTATCGAGACGAGAGAGGGCAATTTATTGCAAGACTTCAATTAGAGTTTGAATTACTTTCTAACCCTCTTTTTAATTCTGCTTTTGTAAACACAAGCATCATATTACACAACACGATGAGCGATAGTGAGCTCGGTGATGCGCCCTATAGGACCCTACATGATTACCTTCACCCAACACGCACTTCCACGCCATCTACATTATGTTTCCACCCAATATGTCACGTATGGACCTAAAATCGAGAATGATTCAACTTCTTCCCATTTCTCATGGACTTGCAAACCTTTTGGCCCCATCATGGATATGAGAGTTGGCGTGTGGTGAGTTACTTTTATGAGTTCTAACACCTAGGGAGCGTCAATTTGTTGAAATGATGTGTAATTGAGACTTCTTACAAAAAGACTTGGATGAAGCCATAGAGTATCTAGACGACTTAGCTGAAAAGGCTCACACTTGGACTAGACTTAATGCCTCCAATATCATCAATAGGTCACAACCTCAGGAAAACTCTACTAGCACCAGCATTTATCACCTTAGGGAGGAAGATAGCCTTAGAGCTAAGGTAGAAAGCCTCACTAGAGAATTAGAAGCTCTACGTGCTAAAGATTCAAAACCTACACATGCTATTTCTTGTGTTGAGTCTGAAGGGTTTTGTTTTGTGTGTGGTGGTATGAATCATCCAGCACAAGAGTGTGCTATTTATGCTAAGATGAGGGGACTTTATGAGGAACACTGTAATGCTTTAAGTGTTTATTAAAAGCCCTATACCCCTTACTCCGAGACTTACAACCCAGGGTGGCGGAATCATCCAAACTTTAGCTGGAAGTCTAAGAACCAACAGCCTACCCAATCCAATAGAGCTTACAATACACCCCCATGTCAACTCACATCATCGAGAAATTCCTTAGAGGATACTTAACATGCATTTATTGAGGCACAGGTTAAAACAAATAAAAAATTTGAGACTATGATTGGCCACTTAGCTGATGAAAATAAAGAGATAAAGAATCATATGTCGAAGTTAATCAATGTCTTAGCTGTAAGAGAACGTGGAAAGTTTCCAGCTCAAGCTCAACCAAACCTAAAAGGGCAGCACATGGCACAAATCTCAGGATTTGAAAAGACCAATTTTAAGGAAGCGAATGTCATAACCACTAGATCAGGGAAGGTTGTAGAACCAACCCCTCCACCTATAGAAAATGAAAAAGAGTCAAGTGAGCCTAATGAGAGCAGTTCTAGTGAGGAAATAGTGGAAACCTAGCTAGAATACCTTTTCCTCAAGCTCTCAAGTCCACTTCAAAATCAATAGGTTAGCATAATGAAATCCTAGAACACCTCAGACAAGTCAAAATCAATTTGCCTCTCTTGCGTGTGATCTCTCAAGTTCCTACATATGCTAAAGTTCTTAAGGACTTATGCACTGTAAAAAAGAAGCATCATATCAAAAAAGTTGTCTTCTTGACTGAGTAA